TTCCCAGGAGCCCATGAGGTCGCTCTTGAATTCATCCTCTTGGGGGGAGGCAGGTACCAAAACAGATGCCCAAAGGGAAAGGAAAAGAAAAGAAAGTGATATCCTTGTGTTTTTATTGTATCCCCTTGCCAGTTGCTCTTTAAACAAATTATCTGGGATTTAAACACATTCTCTCTCTCTCTCTCTCTCTCTCTCACACACACACACACACACACACAGAGGCTGGATTGTCCTTGTTTGTTTGCAAACAGTCCAGAAGCACAGGATCCCATTAAATTAGATTCCAAGAGATGAAGCTCTGTGTTCCGCTGGCTCCTTCAAAGTCCCTCTAAGGGAGGACATTTCCAGCCCCTGGACCTGACAATGTCATTCTTATGGCTTACAAAAATAAAATCAGCTACACTAACCTACAGTCAAGGGAAAGAAAGAAAAGTGATTCCATGATTAACTTACCCAAGGTGCAGACACAGGGAAAACCAGGGGGTGAGCTTGGCAGCAACGTGAGATTACAGGGGTGGTATTAACATCCCCTGAATGTCCCTCTTTAAGCCTTTTAAAGAGGCAATTTTGCACGGCGAGTAGAATTAGTCCTCTCTCCGTGATCGAGATTTTGGTTCACTCTATCAGGGAAAAGAAAGTGGCCCCTGGCCCACTGGAAATTACAGGCTCCATTAGGAAGAAAAGAAATGACTTACTGAGCAGCAAATTCTCTAAATTTGTAATTCAGATCTTTAGTGCAGGCCTGAAAGCTGGTCAGGATCCAGCCCTTTGCATAAATTGGTTTTCTGGGAGTTTAACTCTTTAGGCTCTATTGTCCTTCTGTAGGAAGACACTCATGTACCACCTCTCCGTCCCGTGGCCCTTTAACTCGCTGTAGCGGAAGGAGCAATCCATACTTTCTCAGAAGGTTCATAATAACGCTTAGATTATCACACATTCAAGTTTATAAAATGCTTTCTGAATACAATATGTAATTTAAAGCTGGATGTCCCTAAATGAATGTAATAGCTGCTTTTGTTACATTTCACTGGGGATGGAGGCAGGTGGTAGAGAAGAACTGGCATGTACCTGTATGGATTTTTTGTGAATTTTTTTTGTTTTTTCAAAATGAGCACTTCTTGGCAAAATGGCCCCCAGCTGCCTTTCTGGGAAGGATCGCCGGGGAAGGGCCTCCTCCTCCACGTGATTGACAATCAGGGGAGCACGTGTCCGTCTAAATGTGGCCACTAGAGGGCGCTCCAGGACTTGGGGTTCTGCAATCTCCAGCCAAGGCCTTTCGCCCGATTGATTGCCTGACCGGGAAACTGGGCCAAAGCGGCAGGGGAGCGTGTTTGCTGAATAACTTGCAGAAAGTAGTCAGATTTGATAAGAAGACGTAGAACAAGAAGGCCACGCTGGGC